TCCAACCCACAAAGAAAAATGGAATGAGCTGATTGGACGATATCCAAAAGAACAAATGGAGCCAAATTAATTTTGGATTCTTTCATTATGTTCATCTGTTACAAAGGGAATTGGAATGAGCTGACTGAACAATATCTGAAAGAACAAATGGAACGAAATTAATTTTGGGTTTGTTATATTATTATTCGGAGATTCTGAAGGATCCACGTCCATCCAACCCAAACACAATAAGTAGGAATCATCATACTATTTCACTTTTATACCTTACTGTATTTATTGCAATAGGTTTCCATTTTATTTGTAGCACAATTTGTATAATAATGAAAAATGTGAATGCAAATAAAAAAAAAAAAATGAAACCGAAAGAACAAATGGAACAAATTTAACCCCTTGGCACCGGCGCCTCCAGTCCCTTTAAGGGTTTCAGAAGCCAGGAGGCAGGGCAGGGTTTTAGGGTCATGTGACCGCCGTGATTCCTGTCACGGCGGTCACATGATCGGGAAAGATCCCTATCGCAAGAGGAGATCGGGACTTTTCCGTGAGCACAGGACGTGTGCTGGGAGCGCGCAGGGCTATAGGGGTCGTGTTAATTCAAGGACTGGGTGAAATTAAATGCTAAAAGTTCTCATTTAGCTTGCGTGCACCTTTAATTCAACAAAAAAAACACTGTTTTCCAAGGCAGAAAATGGGACAAGCTTATCTTTATATCTGATAGAAGGATGTTAAATCTATCCAGCAGGAATAACCACACTCACCTCAGGCAAGAACAGGGATGTTGATTAAACTGCACAAGTAGCCTGTCTGCTTGTGCAAAACAATGGTGCCCTCTAAAATTTACTGGGTAAAAAAAAAAAAAAAAAAAAGTACAGGTAGATTTGCTCTTGGGTCTAGATTTCACCTAGCCAAGGCATTTGACCGGGAAGGCCTAATAGCTGGATTTTTGCAGACCGACAGAGCAAGCAAGTAGGAAAAACCAGCGTAAGGGTTTTAATACTTAGCCATGCTCTATACAGAGCCATTAGGAAAACAATGAAATCTCCCCGGATGTAAAAGTCTCAACATGCACTGACCTTTTCTTCCGTCTGTAAACAGAGCAGGTAAGGGTTAAATATTTCCAACAAACAGCCCAAAATTTTGGCCAAATGTTTAGCAGAAAAAAAGGCATCATAGCCCCGAGGATCATCCCTGTGTTATAGCCAGTACATTGAGCAACGGAACATGGAACATCGGAGGTTACCATGAAACCAGCACTGTAACGCAAAGCAAACATCAAGCAGGTGGTCCAAAGACAACAAACAACACCTAGGACCATGTTACGACAAGACACCCAAGTCAGTATGGGACGAGACCAGCTGCATGGCACAAAGGTAGCACAGGATCCACATTTAAAAGTATAAAGCCAAAGTAGGTTGGAAAAAATAATCAATTATGTTAAACAGTGTTAGCCTTCTTGTTTCTTTATGCTTGTACAGGCTCTTGAACAAAGACCTGGCAGAGACCTACGGCCCATACGTACATGCATGGTGCATTCTTGTGCACATACGCACACACCACTGGTTTGAAGTATCTGGGACCTTGTAGAGACCTTTGTCAAGTGTATGCGTGCGTGGGAATCCCCAGGTGTGCATAGAAAGGGTCTCTGCCTGGAGTGGAGCAATGCCTTTATGGTGCGCATTTGACCCTCAGCAAAACACTGCCCTTGGGATGTGTGAGGTGGACATCCCAGGGGGCAGATAGAAAAGGGGACCCCAAGTTATCCTTGCTTGGGCTGCAGCACTAAACAGGTTATATATATATTTCCAAAACTGAAGGTTCTGAATTTGTGTAAGAGGGAGGGGTACAGAAAAACCTGGCACTCCAGTATGGATGCTCAGATATAGGTTATTATAGAAAGCTTGAGGTATTTGTAGCCGTATTAGTGCATCTGCGACAGAAACAATTGAGTACTGTCCGTGATACGTTTTTTATTTGCACTAATCTTACCTGTGTACCTTATCCAGTGCAGAAAATGTAGCAAAGGATCTTATGTTGGTGAAACAGGGCAGAAGTTGCAAACAAGGATGAATTTGCACAGACATACCATCAAGGAACAGAAAGAAGATGACTTTTGCACACCTGTGGGACACCATTTCGCACAACCAGACCACACTTTGGGAGACCTCAATATTTTAATTCTTAAAGGAAATTTCAAATCCATTCAGGAAAGAAAAACTTTTGAACTAAGAATGATAATTCTATTTGACACAAGAGATAACGGCCTGAATTTGGACATGGGATTCCTCAATCATTATCCAACAGTTTTATGACTATCACCTCAAGCATGACTGCCTCTGTGAGTGTTGTCTCCCCCCCCCCCCCCCCGCCAGACTTTGCTTTTGCTGTGTCTTATCTCTGTTCTCTTTTTTTTTCCCATCCCCTACATCTCTTCTAACATTCTGCTATAACTTTGTGATCAGTACTGCTTGGACCTGAAGAAGGGGACACTCCCCGAAAGCTTGTCCTCAAAATTGTATGTTAGTGCAAATAAAAAAAGTATCACGGACAGTACTCAATTGTTTCTTATAGAAAGCTAAAATTCAGCATGATAAGGACATAATGCTTTATAGCCAGTAATGGCTGAAATGTGTTAGTGTCCATGTTGGGCCATCTATTATAACAAATTGTGGGATTGTGGATTTGTAATGGCTTGCGGTGGCCGAGGCCACGCACCAGTGTCCCCTTTCAAGTAATTTAAGTGAGGTGGTTGATTTCAGCTTACTCCTTCAAGGGGGGCAAGAACGAGGAACAAAAAGGGCGAAGGTCCATTTTAATGTAAAACAGAATGCAGAACTACATCTAAACATCTACAAGACCCTCAATGTTCTATGCACAGATAGATTGGATTTTCTAGACTCAGTGGCATCTACTCATGACAAGTGTAACGAGTTTCAAAATGTAACTTCTAGAGCTCATAGAAGTATTTTTTTATACCTCCCTGCCTAATCATATCAAATTGACTAGTAAGTTTACATTAGAATTTAAAAGCATTACCAGATAACAACAATGGGATGACATGTAAGGAAAAAATAGGAAAAGTATAAAAAGGTATAGGAAAAAGAAAGGTAACATGCAAAGGGATGATTCAGGACCTGGCAAAAAAAAGCCAACAAAAGACACCGGCTGCGACACGAGACCCTGCAAAGCGTGCAGGGTAGGTGCACAATGGACAGGAGTAAGAGGCTGCTGCACGGGCGCACAAAACAAAACATCAATTCATCAGGGGGTAACGTTTGCTGGGCCATGTCCACAAAGAAGCAGAATGGAAGTAGGAATAGGCAGGCATGCTGGGCAGGAGATTATTACATCTGAAGTGCTCTGAACGTTGCAGCAGATTCTTCAGATAAGCAAGGTGATGAATGCAGATTGAACCTCTCTGGAGAATCAGCACTTCTTGGTGAGCCGGTTCAGGAGTAGTGCAAATAAGATAAGAAGCAGGGCCATTCAACGCTTGAATGTAAAATGAAATACAATATAAGCTAGAAGGCAAGGAAGAAAGCGCCGGAAAGGAATGACTAGATCCAAAGCAGCCAGGCAAGGCAAGTTGAGTCTATATATGAATGGCGAGGTCCCCAACCACTGTGCTTAGCCAACTGGAGAGCCCAGCTCTAGACAAAACTTGTTACATTGTTTTGCGGAAGGGACAGAGAGTCTTCCAGGGTTTTAGTGCTAAATTGAGGCAGAAGGAGCATTTAACAAATGTTATTTAGAGTCCAAAAGCACATAATTGATTCCACAAATGACCAAGAAGAAAAAGGCAGCCAACATGTTTCAGGGGCCAAAATGATTCCCATTCATTAGGACTGCTACTCTGCATTTACATGGGCATTTACACATTAAATATTGCCCTGAATATTGTATGTGTCCATATTCTGACCAGTAGACACTGTTTTAAGCACAAAAACCCAGACAAAGTGGGATTGTTTTGGCCACCCAAACACGTTGGCTGCCTTTTTCTTTCTGGTCATTTGTTGGCTCAAGAAAATACTTTTGGACTCGGAAAACACTTGTTTGAGCTCCTTCTAGCTCATTATGCATATATTACTTAATTTGGGTGACTTCCTGTTTGGGAGGGACCCCCATTTTGTGGAGAGGCCACAAAATGGAGGCCCCTCCATTTCAGTGCCTTGCCCCTACCTCTTATTAGGGTTTTACTGCTGTCTGCATCTAATGGGGACGCAGGCAAAACATAATTTTAGTAGAGTACAGATGGGTTAGGATTTCTGAAGATCCTGTCTGTTTTTTATGTTCTGGTGTCAACTGCACTCCCACATATTTTTGTCTGGGTATCATGGGAACAGGACATTAGGGCAAATCTCTGCAATGGGAACACAGACAGAAACAAGGTTCATGTCAATGGGCATTCTAATTAAATGCTGTGTTCAAATGGAAAATACTGAATTGGAAAGAAGAAAAAACGGTCTGTGATGGCTCTCATTTATCAAGGTCATGGCACAGAGAGTTTAGTATTTTGTCACATACAACTGGACATGCTCTGTAATCAACATTACAGTACAAGTCCAGTTGAAAGTGACTCAATACTACAAGCTAAGAAAAGACCGATTTGCTTTGCCTGCATGTCAAGCGCACCTTAATAGGAACTGCAAAATCCAACGAAATGCAGCACAATGCAAAGCAAAGCAGCTCAAAAGCAGTCTCAAAATGCCATGTGTACTACTCCAGTAAGGTTCATGGGATTTTTCTGGCCTGCATTTGAGGTTTGTTCCAAGCGTAAATCAAATGCTAGGAAAACAATGCCTGTTGACATGAGTCTACAGGGATCTAACAGAAATTATAATTCTTTCCTACTCTGTGAAATTAAAAAAAGTGTCTGCAGGTAGGCTATAAGCAGGAAGTTATAGAAAGGTTGTGGACTTTGGACAGGTCCAGTCAGCAGACAGGGGATGGTAATGGCACAATCGAAAGCGACACCGCCATAACACGCTTTCTACAAACGTTATTACCTGTCATTCTCAGCACTGTCCTCTTGTTGGTCTGTTGGGCACAGCTCTGTGGTTGGAGACCCTTTGGAGATATCTGTGACATCCAAGGAGGAGGTTCCATCAGACACTGTAAAAGAAGACAAAAACAGAATGTTTTTTTTTTTTTTTAAAGAATTAAATTAGCCACTTTTACTACAAGCTGGCATGACTAACAGTCTTTTCTGAGTCTGATTTTCTGATTTACAAAACTTGTAATCCACTTTGCAGGTTTGAAGAGCTCATGCTGCCAGACGATCCATTTCAAGAATGTTTATATTTAGAAAGCCTAGAGTCTGCTGCTGGGTGCCACCATCTTGGATGTGATGTCAGCAGATGCAGAACTGTCACTCAAGTGTAATTCCGTAGCAGCTTTTCTCAACCTTTTTTTTTTCCAGAGGAACCCTTGAAATAATTTTGTCTTCTGGAAGGTCTTGGGGAACACCAACAAATTAAATAATTGCTCCTGACATTGGTAGTCAGTGAGAAGAATGCAGCCCTTACAGTGTTGATCAGAATGCCATCCTTATGGACAGATAAAGAGATCATTGGCGTCATGCTGCTGGCTCTGCCAAGCAACACTGGCGATGAAATGATAAAGACACCATCAGATGGGAAGTCAACCAACCACAGTTCACGGAACACCTAGCTATGTCTGAAAGAATCCTACGGTTCCATGGAACCCTGGTTGAAAATGACTGCATTTACCTTTACGCCCCTTTGGCTGCTCCATAAAAGGTTATGTAGGGGGAGTGAAGCAGCTGAGCCAGCAAAGAACGTAATTAGACACTCCCAGAAGAGAAGAAAGCTATCATGTGAAAGGGGGAGGGGCTGCACTAGGGAACTAACTCCTGAAGTAGTCAAATGTCCTAGCAGCCTTTAAAAGCACAATGCAAGCAGATAAAAGCAAAAATATCAGATTTTTGGTGTTTTATTTTGACATTTTTTATGTTGGTTACAGGGTATCTTTAAAAGAACTAGATGATTAAAAAATATTCTCACTAACTTATATTGCTCTTGCTACTGCAATCCATAGATTTGGGAAAGCTGACCTAAACCATTTGGCAATGGAGGTTGGCAAATAATGCTATGCACAGGACATCCTATAGATCCTATAAAACGATCTCCGCAATGAAGTCATTTTTATAGATTTTTATAGACAATGGAGGTTATTTACTAAAGCTGGAGAGTGCAAAATATGGTGCAGCTCCATTTTTATTTTTTAACTGAACCACTTGAAGTTAGAAGCTGAGTGGCTACCATGGACAGCTGCACCAGATTCTAAGTGCACCGGTTTTAGTATATCTACCCCAATATTTCATCCTTTATTAAACTCACATCTTCTCACCTTATATTTAAGGAATAAGTTTCATATGCTCCCAGTACATCTACCGGGGTCTTTCTTTAGGATAATAAAGAAGATTATACTTAGGTTTATACAGGCAAATAAGAAACCAAGAATTAGGTATGAGGTATTGTGTAGGGCAAAAGGGAATGGAGGACTGGGTTTGCCTAATTTTAGGAAATATTATTTAATGGTGATATTATCACCAATAGTAGATTGGACATATAATTTATAAGGGAAAAGCTGGGTAAATACGGAAGGGATTTTGACTAAGGCACAGTTAGGGAAGATTGTTTGGATACCACATAAATTTCGTATATTGGATGTGAGTACTAATCTGTCAACAAAGAAAGTTTTAAGAGTTTGTGATATATTATACAAGCAAAAGGGATGGAAATATAATTCAGTATTGACTCTCTTGGTGGGAAAGGAGTACTTCCTCCAGGGAAGGATAATATTTCCGGGAAATGGATTAAAGATAAAAACGCACGTCAGAAGGATATATTGAATAAAGGGAAATTGCCCACTTTTTCAGATTAAAAGAAGAAAAAAGATTTCTTTTTTACATTAGATGAGTGGCAGTATTGTCAGTTAGGTCATTTAGTTTCAATGCTCCCACTACCACTGAGGACATCAGAGGATCTGTATCCATTTGAAACACTGTTGAACGTAAACACAGTTCCAAAACAAGCCACCTCTAGGATTTATAAGATCCTTATAGATATGGAAGGAGTTGATCCTCCCCTGTTCTTGAAAAATGGGAAAAGGAACTTGGAACAGAATTGAATGAGCAACAAAAGAATAAAATATTTAAATTAACACATGAAGTGATGAATATGAGCACAGTTGAAATAAATTACAAATGTTTGGCGAGATGGTATATTACACAACAAGTAGATGTTTCACCATTATGTTGGAGAGGTTGTGGGAAAAAGGAACAATGGCACATATATGGTGGGATTGCCCTAAAATACAGGAGTACTGGAAGGAAATAATCCAATATATTCAAGAAATATGTGGGATCACCATACAGAAAGACCCGTGGATGTGTTTATTTTAAAATTTTGACCTTTCAATGAAACTGCATAAAAATAGGGTATTATATAATTTATTCAGTGCGGCCAAGGGCTTGATTCCCAAGCTTTGGCAAGCCCCAGAGCCCCCAAGAATAAATGATAGGATAAACAGAGTTCAAAATATATATAGTATGGAGGAGTTATATCATATAGAGGAGGATAAAACATAAACATTTAGGAAAACGTGGAGTAGTTGGTTAGACTTTAAAACATCTAAACGATATCCGGAACTGGTTGGAGGTTAGGGTGACAAGTCTAGAGAGAGTTTGACAGAGTATCTGAAAGAGAGAGTGGAGGTAGGAGGTGAAGGGATATAGATATGGACAGATAAGCATGAGAGCAGATAGAAACTAGGAAATAGGATAGACAGGGGTAACTGGAGGGGGGAATGGAGGGGGAATGGAGGGAGGAAGGGTGGGTGAAGTGTTCGTGTACAAGGTTCTTCGCATTTTTTGTACTGGAAAAATGTAATAAAAGATATAATAATAATAAAAAAAGAAACAATGTTAAAAAGGTGCTAAGTGATTCATCCAAAATACTATCAATATGTCTTTTAAAAAGGACAAGCTTTTTGATAAACTTGGACCAGTGCTACATTTTTTTTTTTTCCAAAATCAAGTTTGGTAATATGTTAACTGAGACCTTTCACAGTAGTCATTCATCGTCAAGATTTTTTTTTTTCCAGAAACCTCAAAAGTACAACTTTAACTTACCTGTGTCACTGTCACTGGGATCACTAGGTGGAGGATGTATGGTGACAGATACACCAGGCTCTGGACCCTCATTGGTGGCTTTGGGCTTCGCAAGACTGCTGTCACTCCTGTCAAAGGTCTTCTGCCCATGACTAATCCTTCTCTCCTGGGTCCCTGGTTTGTCAACTGAGGAAGTAGAAAAGTAATGAAGTCAGAGTCGCTTTTCACATCATCTTTTGAACAGAACTTAATCTTCAATCAATTAGATGAAATTTTATATTATGACTGCTCTCAATCTTTTTTTCCCAGAAACATTGATAGCAGGTAACACATAAAGGAAAACAAAATGGTTAGTAGGTGACAAGAGAACACCGCCACCCACCCCAGCCATTGGAAAACGTCTTACAAAAGGATCTGGAAAGCCTCAGTTCCACTACATTGTATCTTAGAATAAGCAACAGGCAGGACACCAATAAATGATGTTATGAGAGCCTATCATTATACATTTTCTAATTTTTGTGCACACAATCATCTAAAATAGAAATGTGTTTGTTTTGCGGTTTAATTAACCCGCCACAATAATCAAAGGTTTGTCCATGTTTTACGTACGTCAACCACACTGTGAGGACAACCAAAACTCAGGGTTTTTCAAGTTGAGTTTTAACATATCAGAAGACAAAGGTTTCTCAACATTTTACTTGAGAAGGTTATGTTGTGGAGGCCACAGAAGGTCCTTTAGGTTCTAGTGGCAGTCCACCCCCTCCATCTGCCTGATCAATAGGTTTGGGTGCTATCAAAGAAACATGGATGAAAGACGAGGCTGCAATCACAGGAAGTGCAAGGAGACTGGAACTGTCTAGCAATAGATAGGATGATGTGGCATGAAGAAAGAAGTACAGTAATTTACATTCTACACTCCCCTGGCCCTGTTCCAGTGAACCTGCTTGCCAGCATAAGCACCCATTTTAGTTTTGATTAGTTACTGGTTATCAACTGGGAAGGGAGCCTCAGTGACAGCCAGGATTGAGAGCCACCAGCCATGCAACGTGTCGGCCAGCAGCTTTAAAAAGGAAGATGTCAGTCTATTAGAGAGACCATATCACCAACTTAAAAAAAAATCAGGTGAAAGCACAGAAAACAAACTGAAGAATGCAAAATCTGGTGCAGTTCTGTATAGAAACCAAAGCTTAATGGAACAAGCTGACGTTAGAAGCGGATTGGCTACCATGCACAGCCGCACAAGATTTAGCACTTTCCAGTTTAGTAAATCAACCCCAAAGTATTTTAAAAGATTATTTGCAGTGTTTTCCTTTCTATAAATTATTTTTATTCATTTTAATCATGAACTTGAACTTGCTAGAAAGTTTGATTACTCCTGGAAGAGCATTTGAGCTTGCTAGAAAGTTTGACTACTCCCAGAAGAGTCAATTTCCTAGCACATGTCCCCCCTTGCACATCATAGCCCTCTCCTCTTCTAATACCTAATTACTGTCCAGAGTGTCTAGTTACTGTCAGTGCTGACCTAGCTCCTCCACCCCTCCATTCGTCTCCCAACATAACCTTTTATGTAGCTGCTGTGTAAAGAGTGAAGGAAATACTTGATTGATAGCTCTGAGTCTGTTGGGCTGCTGACATCACATCCAAGATCACAGTGGCAGCAGTAGTGTCCTGGCTTTTGAATATCTTCACAAGGCCTTTACAGGTAAAAACGATGTATAAAATATGCCATTTGTACATATACTATTATGTGAAGATTTTTGTTGAAATGAATGGTTTTAACTTTAACCTATCCCCTCCATGAGGCATCATGCTGGGGAATGTTAAAATACGGATTGCAGGCAAGAGGTTATGAATTATACATGAAACCCTAAAACATTTGACTATGGCCATCAAAGGACAGATGTGTCTCTAAGAAAACATGGGATCCTCAAAAGCAACAGAACTTGCTGAATCAAAGCTTGAGGCACAAATGATGTAGAGATTGATACTCCTTTGAAGGATCGATTTTTTCGCATACACATTTTATAAGAAGCTAAAAAAAATCCTTTGTATTATGTATAAAAGAGTTTATTTTCCAATTTCCAATAACAATGCCCCTTTAACTTGAAGTTGCCCCTAAAAGACGAATTTGAGGTATCAATATTTTTTACCTCCATTGGTCTAGCTTGGACCAATGCAACTATGCATATACCATATCTATGGGATATTTCCAGAAGCTAGAAAGCACTATAATAGACATCCCCACACCAGTGATATCCACTAGCTTCCAGATCCTGTGCCAAGTTGAGAAAATTCTAAGTGAACTCTCAATGGCGCCTGTGCCGACCAGCCGATCTCCTGTGTTTAGAATGCAGCAGGGTAGCCGATTGGCATATGACCTGGAAGCAAGTGGAGAGTACTGTAGTAGTTGTGTCTACTACATTGATTTCCACCTTCAAGAGGGATGCCACAGGTATGGTATGTGCATCATTACATTAGTTCAAGCTGGATGCCATACCTTTAATTCTTCTTTAACTGGCCAAGTCTTACCTTCCCAAATCCCCTCTAATCTGAAAGGACAGAACAATAGCTGTGGGACTGAGGCTTGAAGACCATAAAACATATGAGTTTGAATAAAACATATTTTATCAATAAGTGAATTAGTAAAATGTGCCCCCCATGCTTCAAACCTCCCCCTCCAGTGAATTTATGGTACATTCCGCCATGCATTTGACTGAGTGGAGGGAGTGGAACAGGTGAAATGGCAAGTTGTTTGGGGGAGTATAAATGGGTCTAACATTGCAAGATACCTTCGGGCTCAAGCTTCGGCCTGGGATCAACATCTGTGAAAGATACGGGAGGAGCAGAAAGAAGAAAAACAAAACATGGCATGAAGGCAAGCTAAGGCACAGCGACACCACCCACACCCCCTACACATCACTGAACATCAACATGGAGTCATCAGTACACAAAGCTAATGGCCATCTTGGGAGTGAACCAATATTCAGCCTTAGACTTTACTAAGGCCTATATGGCTTCATCCACAGCGAACAGAGTTTTGCTTAAGCAAGAGACAACAAGACATCAGCAATGAGAGACAGACATGCATCACAAGCATGGAAGGATAGAAGAGACTGAAAAGCAGTGAGATAGCAAAACATTTCTCAACCTATTCACCCCAGAGGAACCTTTGACATCATTTTCAGGTTTTGGGGAACAACTGCTAAACCAATTCATTGGAGATCATGGGAAAAATACAGCTTACACTGGTGCCAGTAACATGAATGACCCCTTACAATGGTGGTCATAATGCCACCCTTACAGATCATTGGTGTCATGTAGCTGGCTATGCCAAGTGGTGTTGGCCATGGAACTACGTAGGCACCATCAGGTGGGAGGTCAAACAGCCACAGCTCATTGAACCCCTAGAATCCTCTGGAGGAACCCTACAGTTCCATGGAACCTTGATTGAGAATGGCTGCAACATAAGAAAATAAAAACATACTGCAACCACTAGCAAAGTATATTATGTATAGAAGTATGTCAGAACCCTTGGTCAGTTGCATCACAAGCTCTGGAACTCTGTGCTGTCAGTACTATTAGTTACATTTTAAAAAAATGTTAACCCTCTAGCCCGCCGCTCTATAGCAGAAATACTGCTAAAGGGCGGAAAAGCTGCGCAAAATCACCTATATACAGTATACATAATTTGCATTTCTGGGTAAGAGGCGCGCGTACCGCCCTACCAGCTCTGCCATTGGTGGCTCGGTATGTCAATCACCGGGTCCTGGCCAGCAACTCTCCGCCGGCACCCAGCGATCGTCGGGGAAAGCTGACGGGGTAGAGACCTGTGTGTAAACAACACAGGTCTCTCCTGTCAACATGGACATGCTGTGTTGTATCTCTCCGCACAGCAGAGAGGTACAAAACACCATGTCTCCAAAGTAAAACACAGCACACAATGTAACACACACACAGCATACAGTTAACCCTTTGATCACCCCAGATGTTAACCCCTTCCTGCCCAGTGCCATTAGTACAGTGTCAATGCTTTTTTTTTTTTTTTTTTTTAGCAAAGACATAGCAGAATACACTTTGGCCTACATTTATGGTGAAATTAGATTTTTTTTTTATTGGATATGTTTTATAGCAAAAAGTCAAAAATGTTTTTTTTTTCTCAAAATTGTCAGCCTTTTTTTGTTTATAGCGCAAAAAAAATAAAAAATGTAGAGGTGATCAAATACCACAAAAGGAATCTATTCTATGGAAAAAAAAAGTGCATAAATTTTATTTGGGTGCAGCGTTGCACGACTGCGCAATTGTCAGTTAAATTAACGCAGCGCCGTATCGCAAAAAATGGCCTGGTGAAGGGGGGTAAATCCTCTGGAGGGCAAGTGGTTATACCTGCCTCCAGGGAGCCCTTTAAGTGGGCTTTAAAACCTAGGAGATGACAACCCGGTCAATGTGCTGAGAGCACTAAGTGAGCGTGCTCTCAGCACACTACCGCAGGGTGCACATTTCTCAGTGCTACTGATCTCCTGAAGCCTCTTAGCAGCCTATACGCTCCAGCAATACTGCATGGAATTTCACAATGTGAGTTTGCTGCAGGTGACTACACTGGACTGTGTGTGTATAATGTTCCTCCATTGGAAGCTCGTGTGACAGGGTGACTACACAGGAGCATATTTAGGAGATGGGACAAAATGTTGTCAGCCTATAACAGGAAGTGCCTGAGACATCACCTAAGTATATAATTGGGTTTTGAAGCAGCCTGCCAAGCCATAGTGACTGCGCACTTTGTATCAAAGGCATTAAATATCAAATAACTACTACTTTGTATTGAGGAAGTTTAACATTTAATAGCATTTATATCACAGTTATAAATCAGAGGTGGAGAACTACCAATATTTGGACTATTAGCATAGTGCCATTGTTTGTTCATTATGGTTACCACCAATGGAACGCTTCCCATAATTTAGGAAAAACTCCATTATAGCATTTTATAGCAAGCAGCAAAGCCACAAACAGACAGGACATGAAAAAAAAAAAAAGCAACGAAGTAGGAACAAGATAGAATGAGATTATATACATGGAGTTTTTTTGTTAGATTACATATTGTAAGATACTTAGGGGTTGATTAACAGAAACTGCATACAAGGGAAAGGACTCTATTGCTCACAGCAACCAATCAGCAGGGTGTTTTAACTTGAAATCTGACAGCTGGAATCCAATTGGTTGCTGACAGCCACACCTGCACATTTTATACATCAGGTGCACACACACGGGGATGTACATGTTTGTTTTCACCAAGTACTCACTGTGGGGGGTTTCATTGCGATTCCAGATGCTGAACGGTTTCTTGCTCTTTGGAGGTTCATCTGGCTTCTTAGCAGAAACCTGAAAATAGGGAAGGGGAAAGTTATATAATACAGTGGGGAAAAAATGACTAGAACAGAATAATTTAAATATGTCATCCTAAAAGGACCAGTACATCAAATACACAAGCAAGTTTGTATTAAAAGTGATATTACTGACATTTAAAGTCATGTACAGAATGCCTAGGGGTCTAGTCAGACATTTGTTGCACGAATGTCAGAAGCATTGACGTAAGCAGAACCAAATGTAACGGCATTTTTTAAGAGATAAATGCCTGCATTGTCTAGAGGCCAAAATGTGGTATAAATTTCTGAGATTTCTTAAAAGAGAAGTATAGCCAAAGCTTTTTTGGCCATACTTCTCTTCTGGATCACAGGAGTACACTTACACATCTGCTGTCACAGGGCCGCTCCAGGCTCTGGAAGGATTCCGACATAATTATATCCACCCAGATACCTTATCGGGAGCTGGCGCAGTCCCTCAGCATGCCGGTGAGAGCTGAAGTCAGCCACTTCTGTCTCCTCCACAGCCCGGTGCTCCCATGAGTGCTGGAGGGGCAGAGCAGAGAGCCAGACACTGACAGTCACCACTCTCTGCTCTGGGAAGACGAAGAACTCAGTTAACAGAGGTCATGTGATAGCTCAGTTCTCAGGCTTACAGCAGACAGGGGACAGCTGCAGCTGGTTTTCCAGAATGACTAAATAAATAAATAAAACGAATGCGCTAATTGAGTAAATAATACAAAGTGACTATAAGAAAAAATATAAAATAAAAAAAATTGAATAAAAATTATGCAAAAAAAGTGTTCATAAATAATGTCCAAAAATTTTTAAATGAATGTCCACACGATGTTAGAATCACCACAAAAAAATATTTTTAAATCACCCAACTAAGCTCAAAAATAAAAATAAAACTAATACCTTTTTGCTCTAGGCAATATATAACAAATCAATTCTTGGATACAATACTGTGTAAATCAACGAACAAATTTTCCTCCAATGAAAAATATTATTGTGTGAATCAACAAACGATTTTTCCTCAGATGAAAAACCACCATTCAAAGATATAACAAGGATATATCGCAATCCGATTCTTCGATGCGAGAAATGGACGAATTTTCAGATGAAACTCCACCATTCAAGGGTGTAGGTAATTTCCAGGAATATATCTCACGACTCTTTCGTATATTTCCATACCATAGGGACCATGTTTAAAGGCAAGAAAAAAGAATCATGGTGCAGCAAGTTTTAAACATCTAACGAACTTTTTAATGAACGAATAAAACTCACAAGTCAGGTGTCTCCACCGACACCAGTTTTACAAGCATGTGTTTTAGGCAATCGTGCACGAACGTATCTTCGTTTGCTCTGGATCTCCTCCTCTCACATCCAAAGAATGTAGGATGCTGACGTCTAAGACATTCTTTGGATGTGAGAGGAGGAGATCCAGAGCAAACGAAGATACGTTCGTGCACGATTGCCTAAAACACATGCTTGTAAAGCTGGTGTCGGTGGAGACACCTGACTTGTGAGTTTTATTCGTTCATTAAAAAGTTCGTTAGATGTTTAAAACTTGCTGCACCATGATTCTTTTTTCTTGCCTTTAAACATGGTCCCTATGGTATGGAAATATACGAAAGAGTCGTGAGATATATTCCTGGAAATTACCTACACCCTTGAATGGTGGAGTTTCATCTGAAAATTCGTCCATTTCTCGCATCGAAGAATCGGATTGCGATATATCCTTGTTATATCTTTGAATGGTGGTTTTTCATCTGAGGAAAAATCGTTTGTTGATTCACAAAATAATATTTTTCGTTGGAGGAAAATTCGTTCGTTGATTTACACAGTATTGTATCCAAGAACTGATTTGTTATATATTGCCTAGAGCAAAAAGGTATTAGTTTTATTTTTATTTTTTAGCTTAGTTGGGTGATTTAAAAATATTTTTTTGTGGTGATTCTAACACCGTGTGGACATTAATTAAAATTTTTTGGACATTATTTATGAACACTTTTTTTGCATGCTTTTTATTCAATATTTTTTATTTTATATTTTTTCTTATATTCACTTTGTATTATTTACTCAATTAGCGCATTCCTTTTATTTATTTATTTGTTTAAGCAAAAAAAAAGTGATGATTTTTTGAGTGGGGAATTTGCTGTTTTGGAGTTAGAGGGTGTGGCGCTTTTCTTAAAACATTTTGATTTTTTCCAGAATGACTGCTTGACAGAAACTGGTCCTTAGACCAGCTTCTGCTGAACAGACATCAATACACATGTACCTGAAGACAGCGGGTTCCTACTGAACCGGCTGAATTTTGGTGCATGTGTTCCGGGCCTAAAGTGGTTCTAAAGGCAGAAGTTTTTTTTTTTTTTCACCTTAATGCTTCCTATGCTAAGTTGCGCTGTGTGTGAATGGACAATGTCCATTCACAGGAGCATGGCTCAGGAGCCCCTGTAGCAAGAGGTTGGCTACTGGGGGCACTCAGCAGGGGGAGGAGCCAGGACCACTTGCAAAAGACCCAAAAAGAAGAGGATCGGGGTTGCTCTGTGCAAAACCATTGAACGGAGCAGGTAAGTATAACATTTATTTAAAAAAAAATTACAACCTTTTGAATCACTTTAAGTGTTGTCACCCTAGGATAGGTAGTGAACAGAGGCGGACTGACAACTCATGGGGCCCCCGGGCAATAGGAGATCATGGGGCACGTGTCCTCGCCCAAACTCAAAAAAGCCTATGAAAAAGGTACCAGGGGCATCTCATGGGGCCCCCTACTGACCCCGGGCCCTCGAGCAGTGCCCGAGTTTCCAAATGGTTAGTCCTCCCCGGTAGTGAATATAGGAAGAGAAGTCTATAAAAGAAACGAATGCACCCACCACATTTAAGGACTGATAAGCTGCAAAATATTAAATTTTCGATCTTATATTTAAATGTACTTTAACCATAGGGTCATGAATTGCAACTTACCATTTTCCGGAAAAAGCCACTTTTAGGCTTTTTGCTATCCGCCGCCTTGGTCTTCACCCCGATGTGCTTCATGTAGGTGGCGATGGCATGAACAATAGCAGAACTGCAGAGGGTAAAGAAAAGAATATGATGGAATGTCTAGAAAAATCAACACTTCACATACAGAAAGGAAGTCATTTGTGTATTTATTAGGAACACCGCTGACAACTCCTCCTATCAAAACTGGCCAAAGCATCATTTGTATAGAACAGAAAAGGTGAAACACTGTAATACGAATGGCATGGGGAGCTTTTTTTCCTCTGTGGTCACTCCTCTTCAGAATGTCAGAAATGAATCAAACAGGAAGAAAACTTTTAAATTCTATTTCTGGCAGATAAATGGGGGCACCATAAGGTTTACATGTCAAGGCTGTAATTTCTTTCCACACTGAACTGCAGGAATTAGACAAAATTTACCCTTGCAGGGCCCTTTTCCTGCACTGCAAGGGTTAAATGCTCATTTAGTCTGAGGGGGCAGGGATAAAGTGCAATACGTACCTTATTCTTGGCTCTGGTAAGCTTCCATCTGTGCATCAGGCCAGCACCACCACCTCTTTAAGGTGCGCCTGACAGAGGTTTCATACTCGACTCCTCCATGTGTAAAGCAGAAAAATGTGCAGGCCTAAGGATGTGGAGCAATTTTGACAAGTGCCAAGTTGTAATAGCTGGATGACTGGGTCAGAGCAACCTGAAAAACTGCAGCTCTTGTGGGATGTTCCTGGTCTGCAGTAGTAAGGACCTCTGAAAAGCGGCTCAAGGAAGGAAAACCAGTAAACCGGCTACAGGGTTATGGGCAGCCAAGGCTCATTGATGCATGAAGAGCAAAGGCTGGCCTGTGTAGTTCGATCCACTAGAAGAGCTACTGAAGCTCAGATTGCTGAAACAGTTAATGCTGGTTCCAATACAAAGGTGTTAGTGCAGCGCAGTTTGTTGTTTGTGGGACTGCATAGTTGCAGACAGGTCATGGTGTCCATGCTGACCCATGTCCACAGCCAAAAGTACCTACAATGGGCACGTGAGCATTAAAACTGGACCACTGAGCAATGGAAGAAGGGGGTGGCCTGGTCTAATGAATCACGTTTTCTTTATATCATGTGACTGGCTGGGTGAGTGTACATCGTTCACCCGGATGCATTATAGGAAGAAGGCAAGCGGGTGGAAGCAGTTGCCACAGCATACCTTTAGAGGTCTAGTGGAGTTTGTACCTCAATGGGTTACGGCTGTTTTTGCAGCAAAAGTGGGCCTACTCAAAATTAGGTGGGTGGTTCCTATAGGACAAAGTACATGTTCCACTCTGTCCCATGTTGCTAGGTGCATCCTAACCCAAGCTAGGAGGTTTAATCCTTCCTCCCTTCTGCCATGGCTGATCTGACAACAGGTAGCAAGGAGATGGACTGCAGCTTGTCACAGCTCAGATCACCTTCTCGAGAATAGTAGAGGCAGGAGAAATACCCATGCACACACAGTGTGTATATATATATATATATATATATATATATAAAAAATGAAGGAACACTCTTTATTCAGAGTATAGCATCAATTCAATGAGACTCCTGTTATATTGATATGGTCAGTTAAGTAGCAGAGGGGGTTGTTAATCAGTGTCAGCTGCTTTGCTGTTAATAAAATTAACAACAGGTGCACTAGATGGGCAACAATTAGATGATCCCCAAAACAGGAATGGTTTTACAGGTGGAGGCTACTGACATTTATTTCTCTAATCATCTTTTCTGACTGTTTTTCACTAGTTTTGCATTTGGCTAGGATCAATGTCACTACTGGTAGCATAAGGCGCTACCTGGACCCTACAGAGGTTGCACAGGCAGTCCAACTCCTCCAGGATGGCACATCAATAAGTGCCATTGCCAGGTTTGCTATGTCTCCCAGCACTCCCAGTCTCAAGAGCATGGAGGAGATTCCAGGAGACAGGCAGTTACTCAAGGAGAGCTGGACAGGGCCAAAGAAGGTCATTAACCCACTAGCAGAACCGGTATCTGCTGCTTTGTGCAAGGAGGAACAGGATGAGCACTGCCAGAGCCCTACAAAATGCCCTTCAGCAGACCACTGGTGTGAATGTCTCAGACCAAACAATCAGAAACAGACTTCATGAGGGTGTCCTGAGAGCCCGACATCCTCTAGTGGGCCCTGTGCTTACTGCCCGGCACCATAGAGCTTGATTGGCATTTGCCATTGAACACCAGAATTGCCAGGTCCGCCACTGGGCCCTGTGCTTTTCACAGATGACAGCAGGTTCACCCTGAGCACGTGACAGACATGAAAGGGTCTGGAGAAGCCGTGGAGAACATTATGCTGCCTGTAACATCGTTCAGCGTGACCGTTTTGGTGGTGGGTCAGGGATGGTCTGGGGAGGCATATCCATGGAGGGATGCACAGACCTCTACAGGCTAGACAATGACACCCTGACTGCCATTAGGTATCGGGATGAAATCCTTGGACCCATTGTCAGACCCTACATTGGTGCAGTGGGTCCTGGGTTCCTCCTGGTGCACGACAATGCTCAGCCTCATGTGGTGAGAGTATGCAGGCAATTCCTGGAGGATGAAGGAATCAATACCATTGAATGGCCCCCACGCTCACTTGACCTACATCCAACAGAACACCTCTGGGATATCATGTTTTGGTCCATCCAACGCCACCAGGTTGCACCTCAGACGGTCTAGGAGCTCAGTGATGCCCTGGTCCAGATCTGGGAGGAAATACCCCAGGACACCATCCGTTGTCTCAGTAGGAGCATGTCCAGACATTGTCAGGCATTCATACAAGCACATGGGGGCCATACAAACTACTGAGGACAATTTTGAGTTGCTACAATGAAATTTCAGCAAAACAGACTAGCCTGCTGCATAATTTTTTCACTTTGATTTTCAGGATTGTCTTTGAATTCAGTCCTCTGTAGGTTGATAATTTTCGTTTCCATCAAACGATGGGGCAGCCTTATGTTACTAACACATTATCCAGTCCGTATCAGTATAGATATCTAGCATGAGATTTTTCCCCATTGAGATCTGAAGTGTTCCTTTCATTTTTTTGAGCAATGTATACACACACATTGTTACATGATACCTAGAGACCGCTCACAGGTTTAAGCAGATGAGAACAGCACTGAAGCCAGTTGGAGTTAGGAATAGGGCAAGTAATACACCTCATCTCTGCACCCCCCCAGGCTAATTGAGCATTGCTGGGATGGGGGGCCTCTGCGAGGGTAGATTTTATCTAATTCCTGGAGTTCAGCTTTACATCAGTTTAGCATTTGTAATATAAAAAATGAAGGGAATTGGTTGTGGTTCTATCATATTAAAATGTTGGCAACTATACTGGTGAGGCAGTTGTTACCTTTTCTCCTCGTCCGAAGAGATGCTTGGGCTGTTAGGAAAACAAATAGATACGATTAGAAAAGTGGATGCTAAAATGGACAGTCATCAGAAGTGTATTAGCGGTATTTTCCAACTGACACAGCAAAATCAAAGAGAACATGTATCTGGTTTTGGCAATATGGAGCAGTCTATGACTCTATACTGACCTCATGCGTTAGGAAAGAAGTATGACTCGAACAAATCGGTTGGCTAGGACTTCTTATGCCATTATATTTGCTTGAACTTTTACAGCACCAGCAAACAATAAGAGAATATATTATATACCTCCATTTACATCAATTAATCAGAATTCCATTAAAGTATATGTAAACCCCAAAAATGAATGTCTCTTGTTTGCTCCCTTCTGGTCTGTCAAATATACAACTGAAAGCATTATATTATATCAGATGCAAAAAATACCAGTTAAGCCTACCACAAATCTGATAACTTTCTATACTGACCTTTTATAGTACTGTTACCAGTCGCCAAAATTGTAACCACCCATGCATCATTCTTTATAGAATAAAATAGGAAAAAAAAAAATCAAGGAGAGCAAAACCCCAGCAGGAGATGTCCAGACCTTGGAATCCAAACTAAGACCTCAATACCAAAGCCCCAGAGACACAGAGCAATTGCATTCTCAACATCAAAACCAGAACTGGTTTCTGATGCACGGACCCAGTAGAAGACTACAGATTGATTTTCAATGCCTGCTGCACTTTTATATTGTATCCCTGTATAAGCTATTACGTCTTTTACAACGTCAGCACCCATCTATAGATCATTAAAGGAAAAAGCAAAGGCTGGAAAAAAATGCCCAACACATTGGCAAAATTATTCACTAATACAGTATGCAAAAGAAATAACAATCAGCAAAAAAAATATTCTTACGTATTTATTTATTTTAGGTACTCATATAGCGCCATTAATTTACACAGTGCTTTACATATATATATATATATATTATACATTCACATCAGTCCCTGCCCTCAAGGCTTAATCTACGTAGACTGGGAAAAGCAACTTTTCAACAGCTGGATTTTCATTAAATTTTTTTTTTGTAAGCGCTGTCAATTTACGCAGTGCTTTACACATATATATTGTACATTCACATCAGTCCCCAACCCTCAAGGAGCGCACTTTCTAACTCACATTCATACTTACACATATTAGGACCAATTTAGACAAGAGCCAATTAACCTACCAGCATATGTCTTTGGAGTGTGGGAGGAAACCCACGCAGGCACTGGGAGAACAGCAAACTCCAGGCAGGTGGTGCCATGGTTGGGACTCAAACTGAAGACTGTAGTGCTGCTAGGTGGAAGTGCTAACCACTTAGCCACTGAGATAAAACTAATCTCTGACTCTTTCATTTACCAGGTAGGTGGTGCCATGGTTGGGACTCGAACTGAAGATCCTAGTGCTGCTAGGTGGAAGTGCTAACCACTTAGCCACTGAGATAAAACTAATCTCTGACTCTTTCATTTGCCAGTTCATATTAGCCTGAATATACAGTATATCTCCCTTCCTTCAAATGTTTTTCATCATCTGCACAAAATATGGAGGAAAATGAAATACGTAATGTACATAGTGTTCTATTTACTCTAGTCTATGTTACATTATGTTTATACAAGCTCAAGGAAGAAATTACAGTATATCAATTTTAAACAGATGATTTTATTTTATTTTGCTATACTTTTTGGCAATGCAATGTGCTTAAGAATGAAATGACCCCTATCAACCAATCAAAAAGCAGCTTTCACCAACTCAATGAAAGCCGACTGATGACTGGATACTATAGGTAAATGCACTAATATTTCAGACACAGGTAGATGACGAATGACCAAATTGTCCACCGGATTCTTATATCTATTGGAAACTCTAGCACAGAGTTTCTCAACCCTTTTCACATGGAGGACCTCTTAAAATAACATTCAGGTCTCAGGGAACCCCTGCTAATAATTGCTATATCTACAGCTCACAGTAAAGTAGCATAGTGGTCAGTGGTAAGAATGCCCCTTACATTTGTGGCCATTGAGAAGAATGTCCTTACGTTGGTGGCCAGTCGAAAGACTTCCCCTTACACTGATGGCCATTGGGAAGAATACCTCCCTTACTGATAGCTAAAAAGGTCTTTGCTGTCATTGGTGACCTACCTAATGGGCAGAAATTGCTTGTTGCTTAAGGAACCCCGAGCAAAATCTGGAACAGCCCTACTGTTCCACAGAACCCTGGTTGAGAAAGGTAACTCTGGCAGGTAGATGTGCCCAATTGGAGTTCCCCCCTACTCTAAAACAAACCTTCAGAGAGTCTGTGCAGGTAGGTGGAGCAGGTAACCCAATGCACAAGCAAAATTCCTGACAGAAGAACACAGCGAATGATCTGACATGACACCCTTCACTCCAAACTGAAAAACTATTTTTTGCTGGGCAGAATGTTAAAGGGAACTTTTGCAAAGAGAAACACAAAGGCTGCAATTTTTTTTTTAGAATTTTGTTAGTTTCTGTGGACCATCATTGCTTCAATTCCTCAAATCACCCAGAACAAAGAAAGCTGACAAGAATTGAGGACCTATCTGCATAAGTGTTTAATGTCGTGAACTCAAAACCAGCATTTCTGATATAGGTTAGCAATGGCAGCCTCCCCCTCCCAATTTCTCTTAGGAAAGCTTGACTTTACTAAGCAAGACCATTACGTTGGATTTTATCTTAAGCTGCTTGCTACTGAACACTCACCCACAGAAGATCATGTCTAGCATGTGTGAGATTGGTAGAGAATATCCCGTTGACCATCGTACAAGAGGCTGCGCTAGTATCTCCAAGTCCACAGACTGTAAGTGGAGACAATAGCTGGAGACCGGGCTTATATACCCCGCCACGCTGCAGCATGATGCAATGTACAGAAAGACTCTCAGACAGATGTTTTATGTTAAAGGCAGGGAACTGGATTGTGGACACTTCCCAAGACCACTTCCTGAGTGTTAACTCTTTGGCAGATGGAAGACCTAGCAGTTCTATTCAGTGCAGTTACTGGTGGGGAACCAAGGCAGTGAAAGTGTCAAAGATGGAGGTTTGGTGTGACAAGCACAGTCCTATTCATGGAGTGGATTCCCAGAGGGGGGATGGGTTAATGTGAGGTTCCAATATTCCCAGCCAGGGTTGGTAGACTGGCTGACCAGAGCTAAAAATAGCTGCACATCTGGAGCAGGGAACAAGGGATAAGGCAATATACTGTAGATGGTTGCAGAGATGGAACAAAGAAAGAAATGTAGAGAAAGATTGGTACAGAACATAAAAGCATAACAAAAAGGGACAGTAGGTGTATTCTGCAGAACAGATATGATAAATGCAACATGGCTAGACATTATAGAAAGAGAAATACTAACTGTGAGACATGAGGATGAAGCAAACTGCCCTGCAGAGCACAATGGGGTTTAGGGACTAAATTACTGAAGGAGTTGAGCGTGTTGACTTTGCAAAGTGAGCTTGCGCTTAGCTTAGCGAATCACTTCACCATTCCAATCCTGTTCAAGGAAAAACCCATTTTTAATACTCGTTGCACATGACTGGGTATTCTTTGAAAAGTGGACTTCCACTTGACTTCAACTCATTCACAAATCTAATTAAAAATTCACTTTTCATAGTGAACATGTTCGACTCCTTTAGTAAAGCAATCCAGTTATCTCAATATTAAATCACCGTAATACGCCAGAATACTAGGAGGACACAACACAAAGACTGGGAGCTTGGAATCACAGAGAGAGAGAATGGAAAGAGCTTGGGTGGGAGGTCATTTTTGTTGTATTCTGTCTACTGATCTATGCATTATGCTCTTCTGACCCTGCATTTTGGTGTGATATGCACTGAGACCCTTGAACTCTCCTGACCTCTGTACTCTGTGCATTATGTACCTTTAACTCCTGCACTCTGTGCATTCCACATTCATGACTACTGCACCCTGTGAGTTACATACAGAGGTACAGTCCATAAATATTGGGACATCGACACAATGCTAACATTTTTGGCTCTATATACCACCATAATGGATTTGAAATGAAACGAACAAGATGTTCTTTAACTGCAGACTGTCAGCTTTAATTTGAGGGTATTTACATCCAAATCAGGTGAACGGTGTAGGAATTACAACAGTTTGCATATGTGCCTCCCGTGAGTTACGTGCATATGTGCATCCTGTGAGTTAAGTACCTAAAACCCTAAACCTTATCCTCCGGACCCTTGCACTCAATCTGTTTATTATACTCTCTTGACCCCTGCACTCTGTGTAATACACACTCCTGACATCTGCATTCTAGGGGTAATGCTGCTGACTCACATGAAGGAAAAAGAAACTAGGTTACCTAGGAATAAAGTTAACCCCTTCTATACAGAACATATACCAGGTAAATTATATTCCATTAATAAATAAAATAAAGGATGAGTTGAGAAGACTCTCAAGGGGTATGGTCTCTTGGATTGGGTGTATAAATTTGGTTAAGATAGTGATAGTCCCAAAAATCTTGTATAAATTCCATATGCTCCCAGTCCATAGTCCAGGTTCCTATTTTGGGATAATAAAAACTAATAATACTTAAATACAGTCAGGTTCATAAATATTGGGACATCGACACAATTCTAACATTTTTGGCTCTATACACCACCACAATGGATTTGAAATGAAACGAACAAGATGTGCTTTAACTGCAGACTGTCAGCTTTAATTTGAGGGTATTTACATCCAAATCAGGTGAACGGTGTAGGAATTATAACAGTTTGCATATGTGCCTCCCACTTGTTAAGGGACCAAAAGTAATGGGACAATTGGCTTCTCAGCTGTTCCATGATCTGAGGTAGGATAATTGAATGGAACATTTGGAACGTGGGGGTGGAAAATTCAGGTGAAATGTTTGTATTTCGGATGATTATGATATACTGTTAATTTTTTTTGTAATGAAAAATTTAATAAAAGATTTAAATAAGAAAAAAAAAAAAAAAAAGAAAGAAACCGGAAACCACAAGGATTCAATCACTTCCGGTTTGTTTGTTAACAAAGCATTACTGGCTTGTACAGCATTTGATCAAACCAATCTCGGCTTGTTCAGATGCTTTGGATGCCAGAGGAGAGAAAAGGGGTCTAATAGACCCCAGACCTCTTCGTAAAGACGACCAGCTAAGGCCCATGATATCACAAGGGATGTTGTTCATACCTTGTGATAGCAATAAAGTTGATTATAAAAATAAAGGTACAGTGTAAATAAAATTAACTAAGTAATAAAATGTAAAGAATTTAAAGCATCCTCGCCCCCTAATGCTCCTGCGCAAATGTGAACGCACACGTAGGTCCTGTACACATCTGTGTGCCCCGGGGAGAGGCTTTGACGTCATAATGCTCGATGGTTTCATACTGACACCAGCTGACAAATTTACGTTTTTCACCACTGAAAAAAATCTGGAGGATACATTTTGTGCACAAATCAGTTTTACATACAGATTGTATGTGAGTGCAAATCTTTTAATAATAAAACGGTTTTAAAAGGATATCACAATATGATGTGATTATTCCTCTATATCAATACCCTGGAAGGAGAGACTTTCAATTGAACAAAGGAGGACCCCAAAAAGCAAGATACCATCTCATCCATGCTCTGGCCCACTTAAAGGGACACAAGCGTTATGTGACCTTACTTAACGGTTTGGTAATATACTTGAGGTGAGAGCGCAACCTGTGGGGGAGCACACTTATGCAAGTTTGTTCACACAATATTATCAATTATGAAGCACTGGATAATTTATTCTTATTTTTATACATTCTTTCCAAGTGAACTATGCACGTTGGAAGACATATATGTATGGACTTTTTTTCTGACCTTTTTTCACATTTTGTTCACTTGTATATGGACTTTGTTTCTGGAAATTGATATTGATTGATTTATTCATTCCATTTATTTTATTTAATTACTTTGATACTTAATAGCAGCACTAGGATGCACATATGATTTACATTTAGTCCTTTTTAGTGAAGCGCGGCACAATTTTGGCATTTAGACCTCCTGAGCAGCTTTAAACCGGTATCCTGTAAAGGCTTTTAAAGCATTGCCTATTGATAATTTAATGTACCGAAGTCTGTTGTGTGCGCAATTTTAAAGCATGATATGTCTGGTATCTATTTACTCAACATAACATTATCTTTTTAAAAATGGGTATTATATTGGGTAGTCACTAAAATTCCGTAAAGTGCATTTTTTTCCAAAAAATGTGTGTGTTAAAAAATCGCAACTGACACTTTTATTCTCTAGGGTCTCTGCTTAAAAAAAATATATAATATTTGGGAGTTCCAAACAGGGGCGGACTGACCATTTGGAAACTCGGGCACTGCCCGAGGGCCCGGGGTCAGTAGGGGGCCCCATGAGATGCCCCTGGTACCTTTTTCATAGGCTTTTTTGAGTTTGGGCAAGGACCCAGGGGCCCCATGATCCCCTATTGCCCAGGGGCCCCATGAGTTGTCAGTCCGCCCCTGGTTCCAAGTAATTTTCTAGCCCAAAAAAAAATCAGATTTTTACATGTATCAGAAAAATGGCCTGGGGGTCAAGTGGTTAAATTTGGTCTGGACATCAAAGACCTCCGGTAAGAAAGGAGGTAAGCAAAGCTGACGTCCCTTCTTTTTTCCATTCTTGCCATTGGAAAGGGTTATTTATATCAGTGTCCATGTTATCCCTCTATTTATCAGAAGACACCTATTTGGTAGAGAGGGGAAAGCCTAGAACCTTTATGAGGGGTAACCAGAGTAATAAAAGCCTAAATAGATCTTCTAATCCTTCCCAACTTCTAAAGAAAAAATAAAGTTTTGTCTGGCTTGAATTTCTTTCCTCATGTAAGTATCCTCTTTAATCACTGATCCGAGGTATTTAAGGCTCCGAAAGCGTTCATAATTGGCTTCATTGAAGTGAGCAGTTCTATCTTTCCCCTCATTTCATTTTCCAGATGAAAACTTCTGTTTGGTTTTGGCACAGTTCACCTTCCAGCCTTATATGGCTTTCCTCGAGATCGGCCAGCATATCATTGCTATCAGCATATGCAAGGTCCTTTGTTGTCTGATTAACAAACATTCCAGAGAATACATTTCAACAGTTTAATATGAACACTTAGCGGTGTGTGTATAAAATAACACGCATAGCTGTTCTTCCATTGTAGTTGCATGTAAACTCATTCTGTGCAAACAAGGCTATGTAGTCTGCAATTCAAACCTGTGAATTTCAATGGTGCTGAGGAATACATTTAGCTCCTATGATAGTCAGAGCCATCTAGTGGCCATAATATATGGCCACTAGATGGCACTGACTAGCTTAGGAAATAAGTATGGTCTTCAGCAACATCTAGTGGTCATAATGCAGTATTTTGCACATTCAAACATTTGAATTGCAGAAGTATTAGAGTCAGAAGGGGAATCATAGCACCACATCACCCACTTTAAATGTACAAGAGAAAAAGGGAAAGAGATACACTCCACGAAATTTGGGACTTTATAGGTGCAGAGTCATTCAATGTGAAACATCACTCAAGATAAAACCATCAACATTTATTATACGTAAAGTTTGAAAGTCAATTTGATTTTTTTAAAACAGTAAATTGGAGGTTTTGATGAAGTACGGTCTCACACATCCAACATGTTTCGCCTATCAGGCTTCCTCACGGGAATATACTTTATCCTTTAGATAGTTCCAAATAGCATGTATATGCGGTGCGACGAATCTCAACATGTTTTGCCTATCAGGCTAAAGTCTAAAGCAGTGGTGGCGAACCTATGGCACACATGTCGCAGCAGGCAAGCAGAGCCCTTTCTATTGGCAAGTTGCCAAGAGCCAGCAGCCGAGCATTGGATAACAGGGCACATAGGGGCCATGCGCATGCTCAGAAAGGAGTAGCGGAGGCGTGACTCATTAGCCGCAACTCATCTGAGCTTTTGCATGGCCGGTCAGTGCGCTGTCAAGGATATATATATTGGACTGGCTGTAAGTTTTAATACATACGTTTTTATGAACACAAGATTTTAGCTTGTGCTGGTGGTCAGTGGAACTTTGCCCCCTTGTGCTGGTGGTCAGTGGAAACTTTGCCCCCTCAGTGCTGGTGGTCAGTAGAACTTTACCCCCTTGCGCTGGTGGTCAGTGGAACTTTGAACCCTTGTGCTGATCAGTGGAAGCTTTGTTATTGTGTTTTTCTTTTAACACAAAAGATGTTACTGTATGGGTTGTTTTTTTTCTAAACTAAAACCTCAGTATTCAGGTTTACTTGCAGAATTAGCACTTTGCAATAATTAAGTGGTTTTTGGGTTGGAGTTTGGGCACTAGGACTCTAAAAGGTTAGTCATCACTGGTCTAAAGGATAAAGTATATCCTGCGAGGAAGCCCGATAGGCGAAACATGTTGGATGTGTGAGATTGTACTTCATCAAAACCTCCAATTTACTTTGTTCTTTAAAAAAAAAAATTTGAGGAGTGTATTTCTCTCCCTTTTTTTCTTGTACATTGAATTGCAGAATATATAGCCTGGAAACATTTAATTTTGCTCCATTTGCACAGAATGGATTTACATATAGTCAAGAAGGACAAAAAGCTATGCAAATTTATATAAATAATTATACTCCTCACATAAAGGTTTCAGAGTCTTGCAGGGCCCCTTCCTCAGGGTTACACAGTGTGGGTGGTACAGGTCACATGGAAGGTAAAACTCCCTAAAATGTAGGTGGCGGTTGCTCATCTCTGAATTTGAGCAATCTTGAAAGCAGTATTAAATCCAAAAAATTTAATATACTGCAGCTTTCTGATCCTTGGATGTGGTTGCTGCATTAGTTTTCTTTTTGGTAGGGTTTTTTCCGCTCCGTTTTTACCTGGTCATCTGGTCAGTAACACAGCTCCTTTATTAGAGTTCGTCCACTCTGGATGGAGGAGCGACAGAGAAACATTTGGACAGCAGCACTGTTAATAGAGTAGTAATAGATGTACTAGCAGATTTAGGTACACTAACAAACTGAAGCCAAATTCCAACTAACACAGTTACAGCAACAGTTTTTTTTCCTTTTTGGGATTAAGCTGATCATTGCAACTACTCAGTTGTAAATAATAATTTGTCTCACCCCCCTAATTGCTACATCAGCAGAACAGCTTGCTCTGTTAAAGTAAGTTGAAAAATAACAAACTAACTGCCGGATCACCAGATGAAAATAAAGGAAAGAAAGTCTAAAAACAGAAAACGAATGCAGCCACCACATCTAAGAATTGGTAAGCTGCACTATAATGTATAAATGTTTGCTGTTGGTTTAATATTGCTTTAAATACTCCTAAATATAACAACCCACTCCAGTTTTAGGTATACTCACTGCATATCATCCAGCTTGCCCAGTAGGCGCTCTGCCAGCTGTTTCTCTTTGGATTGTAGGATATATTTATCATTGGTCCGATAAGACTCCAGTTCTTTAAGTTCAGTCTCCCCGGGAGTCATACCCAATACCCGTTTAGCCCTAAGGAAAACAGACAAGAAGTCAGTCATTCAATAAATTCCTAAATATCACAGTAAATATTGCTACAAGATAAAAGACCATCCACTATTGAACATCTGGTTGACCTTATGTATTGAATGCCAGTATAATATCTCCACAGACAACAGATTTCATCCTTGCTTCATAAATAACAGGTGAAATCTGGAAGTCTGAACATATTTGGCAGTTGTGAGTGAGAAAAACAAAAAGGCAGATCTTAATGGATAAGAGAAAGAAGGAGAGCGAAAGAAAGATGGGAAGGGATACCTATCAAGACAATCAGAAACCTCCGTGACTATGTTTACCTTCCCTTTATACTTTTTTTTTTTTTAAAACACGACTTCTACTTGTTTTTATAGCGTTTCACCAACTTCAGACTCCCACTGTGCTTTTACAACACTCAACACAAGATGTGTCCTCCCTTACTGACGCATTTCACCCAACATCTGGGCTTAATTGTATATGCATATATGGCCTGGTTTAAGAGGATGTTTCTTCAAGGCTTCACCTAGATCAGGAACATTTAGAATGAAGGATGGATCTTAACAGGTTCAGCATACTCTGGAGGGATTACATCTCTGAGCTGGTCTGGGAAAACTTTACAGCCAAAAAAAAAAATTATTTGTTGAACCCATTTTCCCACAACTGTGGAAGGTCACGTGACTGGGTTATTTTTTTTTTTCCTTTATCTCTGCTATTCAGAGGTCTCCAAATCCAGTGAAGTGCCAAGCAATCTACCCTTACTATTAAGAAAATCAAATATTACACATACTTACTAGTCCATAGAACCAGCGCTGTCTTGCTTGCACGGAAATTTCTCCCTATACTGCTCTTCTCTGGTACCGCCATCTTGAATGTAGATCCAGCCCATGCACAGTCATACCATAGAGATCTATGCCAGGTTTATGGGAGCTGGCAGAAACCCTGTGGTGATTCTGCACATGCGTGACATCCTGTAAATTGACTCCTGGGAATGTGCAACGTAGAAATCCCAGGAGGCAGTTTGTTGGACCTCATGTTGCATGTGCAAAAACACAGCAAGGGATCCCAAAAGTAACCCACGGTATGTTAGTGCATGTGCAGGTCCAAGCTATATCTATATTTCTTTTTAAATCCTCACCTAGGCAAGGATTTAAAAAGAAAATGTTTTGCAATTGTGTAATAGGGAAAGGAGGCATGAGAGAAGACTGTAACAAAGGTGAAGGTCTCTGATGTTTCCCCTGCCCTCCAAGGTAACGAAGCACAGATCATGCTTGGTTACTTGCTTATCTGGCTATAATAGCCGGGGAATGATAGGTCTGAAGCCGGAAGTGACAAAAATCATCATTACTTCCAGGTTTATTCATCTAACAGAAGATCAGGAATGGATGTTCTTCCATTTCTTCTGTGGGAAACCATCCTGACTATTTTTGGTGGCCCCCTCCCCAAACGGGAGAGCCCAGGAACCACTGCAAGAGACAGCGAGGAGGGTGGAGAGTTTCCCTTTGCAGCACTGCAAAATTCATCGGGTGGCTGGGAAATGAACCCTGGGAGGCTCTAAAACATCATCTTCTAATGTCTTATATGACAAAGTTTTCACATTAAACACATTATTTGGGAGTGCTTATGGTCTGTCATCTTTGTATCTGGTATAGGTATATATCTAGCTGGTTGCCCATCGTATAGAACAGGGGTCTCCAACATTTCTAAACAAAGGCCCAGTTTATTGTCCTTTAGACTTGAGGGGGCCAGATTGTGGTCAGTGGTATTTAAAAATGCCCCAGTATCAGTGGGAGCAACAATGCTTCAGGTTTGGGAGTAAGAAAATGACATACCATAGTCAGCAGGAGGAGGAATAATACCCCATCACTGATGTTAGTTGAAGGAATAGCACCCTATTGATGGCATCTATGAGAGGAACAGTGCCGAATCATTGGTGATAAATTGGAGGAATAGTACCGAATCATTAGTGTCAATGGGAGGAACAGTGCCCCATCGTTGGTATCAATAAGAGGAACAGTGCCCCAACATTGGTCTCAATGAGAGGAATTATAGAGCATTGTGTCAGTGGAAGTGGGAGGAAATATGTGCCACTGTTGGTGTCAGTGAAAGGAATGGTGGATCATTGTTGGGATCAGTAGGAGAAATAAAACCTTACATCACTGGAAGGAATGGTGCCCCAAGGGTTGGATAAAGGCAAGCCAAGGGCCGCATCAGACCACTGGTATAGAAGGTTCCGTCTAGAACCCCTCATAGGTTCACTTTACAAAAGCTGCACAAGAGATCAAAGGAAATCAATCTCCACATCTGAATTATAAAGAGATTACCTGAAATCTTCCAGCTGTCTGGAAATCTCTGGAAACTGGTAGGCCTGAATTTCCTGGAGATACTTCTTCAGTGTGTCATCTTGGATGAGGTCTGGCCTTGTCCGATCTGTGACAATAGAGTAGACATGGTCATTTTTCCAAATGTAATCCAAACCAGATCCTGCCATTACACTAACAAGGATGTGCTAGGAAAGTTGAAGCAAAACTGTCCGTGTTGCACCCACATTCAAAGTTATTCAATTCACAAAGTTCCTGGTCAGGGTTTGAAATAAACAAAAAAGTGAGTGTGTTGCCCGAACACATAGTTCCAGGCTTTTTAAAGGGTTAGTTCACCTTTTCAGAATAAATAAAAAGGTGAACAAACACTGTACACCCTCTCTCCCCCGCCACTGCGGTCCACCTTTGTGGGTAATGAGTGGTCACTGCCCATGCAGGTGGTGTAGTGGTCTGGGAATTTCAAATTCTCATTTTTTTACCACTTTTCCTGTAGAGCTTCTGGAATGGACCAGAGCAATGCCGACTGATCAAATCAGATGCAAGCACTGACCAATCAGAATCGCTCTGATCCTTCCTGGAAGCCCTAGATAAAAGAAGGGGAAGAAAATCAGGGATTTAATGCTAGACCAACTGTATGGGCACTGACAACTCATCACTCATGGAGGCAAGTACAGTGAGGACCAAGGGGGGGTGGGGAGGGGGTATTTTGTTAGTTCACCTTTTAATTTTTTTCTGAAAAGGTGAACTTACACTTTAAAGAATAATGTAAACCCAACATTTCATATTCCTGATATGTTCCTGCTGTACCATGTACTTGTATGAAAAAGTATCCTGTTCTCTTTGTATTGCTTTCTTTGCGTGAAATCCCTGGTATTACTGCAAGGCCCTCAAGGCAAGCGAGCACTGCATGGTCAATTCTCTGGCTGTGTTGTGAACTCAGCCTGCTCTCCTCCAAAAATCAGACTTATGCGGTCATGCCCCTCCCCACAGAGCCATTCACTGGGAAGATCAGTGTGCTGTCGTTTGTCTTCTTTGAGATCCAGAATCTCATAATATAAAAACAGCTTTTATGTAATTACAGAAACATCTTACAAGTAGACTAAAAGTCTTTAAAAGTATATTATGGTAAGCACAGCAGCTAAAAAAGGTTAGCACCTCCTCCTAGCAGAACTAGGGCTGTTGGTTCGAATACCAATACCAACGGCACTGTCTGCCTGGAGTTTTCATGTTCTCCCTGTGTCTTCATGGGCAGGGCCAGATTTAGATCTTGGGGGACCCCTCATACACAGAGTTGGTTTACATTCTCAATCACAGTCACACATTTTTAGAATGCATGACGTTGTTATTCTGAGGTCAGGCATGCACACAAATGCACAGCCACAGGCCACCTACCTTACGTAAGTGCTGTATGTATCGTTCACTTAGGCTGCCAAAATTCAGTTTTAAAAATGATAAAATATACTAGTCCAGAGTAAAACCTTTTGCAGATGATGGTACATTTAATAAAATAAAGTATTTTTATTATTATTATTATATTTATTTTTCATGATATCATATAATTTTTTATAATGTTTTATATTTTTTTGTATAGATGGGGGTCCCTTCGTCAGGGTACTTTGGGCAGTTGTCCCTTTTGCCCCGGGTTTCCTCCAGGTACTGTGATTTCCTCTCATACTCCAGCAGATATGATGGTAGGTCATCTGGCTGTAATATGTGTATGTATGAATGTGATTTAGGGACCTTAGATCGTAGGCAGGAATGGATTAGAATGCACAACATATGTGTAAAGCACTGTGTAAATGGTGGGCGCTATATAAGTACCCGTAATAAATAATCACCTGTTAAAATGGGCCTTCTATACAACCTTACTTGCAGCAAATACTGACAGAACCATGAGAACTTAATCCATCAACTATGGAGATGTCCCAAATTACTCCTATGCTGGGAGAGGGTAGTGAACACAATCAATGTCGTTTTTCAGGTTTTCATCCCTCTCAACCCCAAACCCTGCCTACAAGTCCTTCTAGATGACCTTCATTTAGAGGATTATACAAAAGGAGCAGTGGCTAGAGCTATTTTCCAAGCCTGGAGAGTTCTTTTAAGACGCTGGAATCTCCGGACCCTCCTTCTTAGAATGGTTGCAATGCATGGGAGAAACTCTAAGGCTAGAGAAGTACATCTATTAGCATAGAGGCTGCCCACATAAATATGACAATCTTTGGGACCCATGCTTGGACACCCTGAGGCCTAGTCATGGACAGACTCCTGATGGGTTAAAACATGCCCCCCCCCCCCGGGTTTATGGTCTTGGTTGAGTGGCTGGATACTTATGTTACATATAATCATTCATTTGCTCTGTTGCCTGTTAGGTTTCTGGTTGGCATGTTGGTCTTTTAATATGTCCTGTCCGTATCTTCGACTGAATATGATTTTGTACACAACTTGAATGGCCACAGATACCTGTTCTGGTATTGCTGTGCTCTATTTCTTATTTTTAATAAATCTTTCTTTTAAAAGAAAAAACACCTGTTGTACCATATTAATTTCTGATTAATTATACACCGTGTTCCAAATTATTATACAAATTCTATTTAAGTGTCACAAAGATTACATATTTTGTTTTTCAGTTTAACTCATGGATGGCATTGTGTGTCAGGGCTCTTTTGATCACTGAAAACAATCTCAGACACTTGTGATAATTAGATTGGCCGGCAAGCCCAATTTAAGGAAAAACTACTAAAGGAGGGTGTTTCACATTATTAAGCAGAGCACCATTTTCAAGCAATATGAGGGAAGAAAAAGGATCTCTCTGCTGCCGAAAAGAGTGAAATAGTTCAATGCCTTGGACGAGGTATGAGAACATTAGATATTTCACGAAAATGTAAGCGTGATCATAGCACTATTAAGAGATTTGTGGCTGATTCAGAGCACAGACGGGTTCGTGCAGATAAGGGGAAATTGAGGAAAATTTCTGCCAGATCCATGCATCGGATCAAGAGAGCAGCTGCTAAAATACCATTACATAGCAGCAAACAGATATTTGAAGCTGCTGGTGCCTCTGGAGTCCCACGGACATCAAGGTGTAGAGTCCTCCAAAGTCTTGCAACTGTGCATAAACCTTCTATTCAGCCACCAATAACCAATGCTCACAAGCAGAAACGACTGCATTGGGTGGAAAAATACATGAAGACTAATTTTCAAACAGTCCTGTTCACTGATGAGTGCCATGGAACCCTGGATGGTCCAGATGGATAGAGCAGTGGATGGTTGGTGGACGGCCACCCTGTCCCAACAAGGCTGCGACGTCAGCAAGGTGGTGGTGAAGTCATGTTTAGGGCCGGAATCACGGGAACAGAGCTGGTTGGCCCCTTTAGGGGCCCCGAAGGTGTAAAGATGACCTCTGCAAAGTATGTGGATTTTATGACTGACCACTTTCTTCCCTGGCACAGAAGGAAGAACTATGCTTTCCGTAATAAAATCATCGTCATGCATGACAATGCACCATCTCATGCTGCAAAGAATACCTCTGCATCAATGGCAGCTATGGGGATAAAAGGAGAGAAAGTCATGGTGTGGCCTCCATCCTCCCCTGACCTCAGTCCTATTGCGAACCTTTGGAGCATCCTCAAGCAAAAGATCTATGAGGGTGGGAGGCAGTTTACATCCAAATAGCAGCTCTGGGAGGCTATTCTGACATCTTGCAAGCAAATTCAAGCAGAAACTGTCCAAAAACATACAAGTTCAATGGATGCAAGACTTGTGAAGCTGCTATCAAATAAGGGGTCCTATGTTAAAAGGTAACGTGACCTGTTAAAATGTTTAAAAAGTTAAAATGTTGTTAAAAGTTTGATTGAACTAGCTTTTGATTTCAGTAAATATACTGCAAACACAACAAATGACAATTTTCAGTTCTTTACAACCTATAAAGTGTTTTGAAACTTACTGTGCGGAATAATTTGGAACAGTGCATTGTAAGTGTTTTTATGTTTAACAAAAATCCTGTTATCATTAGGAGGTTTGTTCAATAAAATTTGAATTGTACTCTTAATAGTTGATAACATGAGAATTATGCTGACTGTTATTTACATCAATTATTTAGGTAAATGAGAAAAATATCATTTGCATAATAATTTGGAACACGGTGTAAATGGTTATTATTAAGCACACACAATATGTTACTTATGTATTAAAGAGAAATCAGATTTTAAAGATGGAATTTAAGCTACTGAATGCTAATGCATTTATGTCAGCATTACCCTTAGTGGCCAGGAGAGGACGACAAAACAGCAGAGAAAATATTGGTCGCCTCTACTAGCGGGAGGGGACAGGAAAACCATGCGCTCACTTTTATCAGCTTCACATCTCTGCAGGAAGCGATTTGCCTTTGTGCAGCAACAAGAACACTATACACAGTCTGTTCTCACCGCAGGGACGCAGCGGCTTCTGCTGCAGGCGCATTAATAGTTGAAAGAGCTGACTTATTGCTGAACTGGTTACAAATGGTTACAAATGGCACAAAAGATCAATAAGAAAGGCTCAATAGCAAAATCTTAAGGGCTAGCTCCACCCTAAAGTGAAAATAAAGTTTCCCAAGAATTGAGTTAAATGTTGCTTTTAGTACTTTGAAGTGATGGCACCAGGGGCGGACTGACAACTCATGGGGCCCCTGGGCAATAGGGGATCATGGGGCCCCTGTGTCCTTGCCCAAACTCAAAAAAGCCTATGAAAAAGGTACCAAGGGCATCTCATGGGGCCCCCTACTGAACCCGGGCCCTCGGGCAGTGTCCAAGTTTCCAAATGGTCAGTCCGCCCCTGGATGGCACAGTAAATGGTGACTGGCACTGGTCTTTAGTGAATGTATAGGCAGTACATTGGCTGATGTTACTGCTCTCCAGTCAATGGATGGGCTTCAAGTATTGTAACATCACTGGTCTCTTATCAATAGCTCTCTAGTCAATGGATAGGCTAAGCAACATAATGTCACTGGTTTCTAATTATTAGACCAGCTGTATAATGAGTGATGTCAATGGTCTCTGGTGAATGGATAGGATGTATCCGAAGTAATGTTACTCATCTCTAGTGAATGGATAGGTTCAGTGCTGAGTGATATTATTCTCTTTTGCAGGGTTTTCAAAACTTCAGGCTTTAGGGGAGCCAGACTGTGGCCAGTGCGAGTAGAAACTGCCCCAGCATTAGTGGATTAGACACCAGATCGTGTCTAAGGCTCGGTGGTTATTGAGAGTAAACATATTAAAATAGTGCCTGTGGTAAGTAAGCGGAGGAATAGTGCCCCATCGTTGGTGTGTCAGTGGGGGGAATAGAGCCCAATCATTTATATTAGAAGGGGGAATTATGCTCCATCATTGGTGTCAATGGGAGGACCAGCGCCCCGCTGCTGGCGTCAGCGGGTGGACCAGCGCCCCCGCTGCTGGCGTCAGCGGGTGGACCAGCGCCCCCGCTGCTGGCGTCAGCGGGTGGACCAGCGCCCCCGCTGCTGGCGTCAGCGGGTGGACCAGCGCCCCCCTGCTGCTGCGTCAGCGGGTGGACCAGCGACCCGCTGCTGGCGTCAGCGGGTGGACCAGCGCCCCCGCTGCTGGCGTCAGCGGGTGGACCAGCGCCCCCGCTGCTGGCGTCAGCGGGTGGACCAGCGCCCCGCTGCTGGCGTCAGCGGGTGGACCAGCGCCCCGCTGCTGGCGTCAACGGGTGGACCAGCGCCCCGCTGCTGGCGTCAGCGGGTGGACCAGCGCCCCGCTGCTGGCGTCAGCGGGAGGACCAGCGACCCGCTGCTGGCGTCAGCGGGAGGACTACCACCCCACTGCTAGTGTTTAGTGGAAAGACTAGTGCCCCAGTGCTGGTGTAAGTGATAGGAATGGTGCCTCATCATTGGTTTCAGGGGGAGGAATAGTGCTTAATATCAGTGGAAGCAACAATGCCCCCAAGGGCCCGATAAATGCAAGCAAAGGGCAGCACCTGTCCCGCAGACTTGAGTTTGGAGACTACTGTTCTAGTGATTGGATAGGCTGAATACCGAGCGATGTTAATGGTCACTAATGAATGAATAGCCTGCACACTGAGTGATGTCACTGGTTTTGATAAATGGATAGGCTGCATACTGAGGGATGTCACTAGTCTCTAGGTGATAGATAGTCAGCATACCAAGGGATGTCACTGGGCTCAAGTGAATGGATAGGCTGTATATTGAGTAATGTCATCAATCTCTAGCAAAAGGATGGGCTGCATACTGAGGGATGTCACTGGTCTATAGTGAATGGATAGACTGCACTCTCAGAAATGCCATGTCCCTATAGATTGGTGTTGAATTTGCAGTGAAGGATAGACTGAATTTTCACAAGCCTTTGAAATAACCTCTAACATTGGAATTATGCTCTAATCTCTTAATAAAAAGGTGCACACCTCTCATAACATCAAAGGAGAAGTACTAATAAGTTCAATGAAAAGCATTTTTGCGGATTTAGCTTCCCATTGACTGATCAAAGCAATGAGTTTGCCAGTTGCCTGGATTTTCACACTCTGCAGCTGCCATTAGCATAGGCCTCAGCATTTCCATATACTTTCAAGAAGTTCAGAAAAAATTGTTTTCTACAATGTCACAGATTTCATGAAATCACTGGACTAGAAATTGCTAGTATAGTGCAACAGAACTCACCCAGTTCAAAGGAGACACTGCTTGGGACACGCAAAATCTAAGTGGGGAGAAGAAAGAAAAAGTAGAAATATTCATTGTCATCACAGGAGCTCATAGCAATTCCTGTTCAGCTGAGAGCTGCAGACATTCAGGAATGTTGAATCACTCATCAACAATGCTGTAAGAGTCTTACCCTGTGGCTGCTGTTTGCTCTCAGACATTCTATGGGACATACAGGAAAAAGCGCACCCAGTCGAACAGAACAAACAGCAATCATGCC